ACAATTATAGTTTTATGTGTACGGCAAACCCGCACTCGCTGTTCGGTGACATCGACAAATACTCAATTGTCTTAATTAAAATGGCCTCATATACTGACGTCGTGTAATTATATCGGTTATAATTAATAAATAAGCGGTTAATGGCTCACGCAGGCCTTCCATGCATGACGTCATAGCAGCGGCTGTCTCCCGTGGCGAGTAGACATGTTAATTTAGGTTCGGTTCGCTACGCAGCTAAGCCGCTCATAAATTTTAAATGAGACAAATATGAAAGAATTCCAGCGCTCAACCGTTTGCGGTTAGTTTCCAGGGTTCAAATTTATAGATAAACTGGGCTATTAAACTGGAAACGTGTATTAGGCTGGGAACTAACGACTCTGGAAGCAGCTAGTATGCGATATTATATATATATATATAATATAGATGGAACTCAAATATCCATTTCCTTGAAAAATGCATCAAGTTTATGCGTCACGAAAATGTGCTCATTTCTTACCTAGTATGTACTATGAGTAGAAACGAGTTATCTGTGATCTACTTCTGTTTATGTTGTTATTTAGAGGTAATAATATTTAAGAATGGTTCATATAATAGGTCATTTTACTTGATCTGGTCTATAGATGAATAGTGGCTATAATTGCTGGGAAAGTTTATTTTTTTTTTTTTTATACATAATGCTATAGGGCGTCTATGATAACGTGTGTGTTATGTCTAAATGATGTCGTGAACGCACGTACCCTCACACGCCCCAATGCGCCCACTGTTCCCTTCACGAATAGCGTGCTGGTGCATAACGTACGTGGCGTGCGGTGCGCACTTGTGCTGTCGTGATATGTTCGCTGTATGGTTAGCTGTGACACCATAGCTGGGCTGTCCGACATCAGGTCATCCAGAGCAGGAACGTGCCGGAAGTATACGGTGCAGCCGTTTGGTTCGGCGATAAATTCTAAATATTACGCAAGTGACATGGCACGGTCATGACCATTGTGTTTAAGGGAATGGGTGGAATGGACTAATGGTGGCAAAGTTTACAGGCACGCTTTGATAACCAAGCTCACGTATGTGCGCTAGTTCGCGTTCGTTCCCGTCGTCTGTGCGTACGTGCGGTTGTGGGCGTTGCGTTATATGTGTTGCGTTGTTTGTTCGCTGTACGCGAGAACGGCGTGTGAGTATACGGACCTGTGTAGATGCTAGCGCGCGTACGCGCGTACGGTTCGCGTGTACGCGTTTATGTAGGTGGCGTGTATGCCGTGTTGCAAGAGTAGATAAAAACACATGTGTTATTTACTCTTGTGCCTTGTCTGGCCCGCGCGCGTACGCATACCGGCAGATAAAGCGAGTACATCTGTACGCGAGGCATGCGCAGCTGAGACGCTAGCTATCTTCTCGTGGCCTGCACCTCCTGCCGCGCGCACTGTATAGCGCTATCAGCGGCTCTCGGTACATCGGCGCATAGTGTCGAAGTGAGAGATTTATTGCATTGAGATAAATATAGTCGAAACGAAGCACAGCCTCATGCATATCGTATCGCATTAATACCGGTTTATGAGGCGACACGTATCGAAGCACAACAGTTATGAACACAACGGGAGCGGCATAGAAAAGAAGCCTTCTCATCAATACATCAACGAGAGCGACGAATCTAAATACTTTGCCGTTCCTGACCCGGTCTACTGCTGAAAGTATAAAGTATTTAATGTTCCACGGTCAGTACAACGCGTCGAGTACATTTGGCAGGGTCTCCAACCATTCATCATTCTGCAGAATCAGTGACGATTTCATATGGCCTTAATTCCGCATTTTGCAGCGGCAAGGTTATATTTCATTCATTTCAGTTGCACAGTACAAAATTTGCTGATTTTCGCATTTTTTTTCGGCATTTTGTATCTGGCATGTCTACGGTAAATGGAACAGCCTAGTCAGACAGGCCGGCTATCTGCAGGTTCGCGTAGTTTGTTCTGCTATCAGACAAGGGTTGTAGGGTTGATGTAGGTGTTATTAGACGATGAGAATACTGGCCCACGTATGCCTCGAGATGCAGGAAACTGGCTTAAAATATTTCAAAATTGCCTTGAATTTTAACCTTAAATAAATTTTGAAAATTTTTTTCAAAACAGTTTGGCCCCAAACCCTAGCATGTGCATGCCATACGGCACGGTGGGCCTGCTGCGGCCAGCCAATGTAAATTTGACCCCATCCATTTCTGAATACGCCACTAGCTTACTGATCATCGCGGGAACATCGCATTGGAGTTACAGGGTTGGAGACCCTGACTGGGAAGATGCCTTGTTTCATGGGCATAGACGTGAATGAAAGTGAGCGTGTCACATAACCAGGAAACTGTGTGCCAGGTATTGGTATTATGACACCACAGTTGAACGAAGAGGGGCACAAGCACTTTGAACGTCTCATATAAAAATATAAAATGTTAAACACGAAATGTATTTACTACAAAGTTTAAGTGTTTCTCTACTTATTTCGCTATTATTGCCGATAACTTTGCTGTACAATGCGGTGCAAATGCTCATCTTGCAACACACTAGTACACTGAAAAAGCCCCCTGCTACACAAACAACATGAATTTGCCATTTGAAGCGCATTTAGGGGGAGTTATCGGCAATAATAGCCGAATAGCAGTAGAGAAACAAGACTTTGTGTAGTATAATAGCATTTCGTGTTTACATTTTTTTTTTAGACGTTCGATGCTGTGGGCCGAGTGAGTAGAGGAAACGAATTGACAACCTACTGTCAACAAATATCAGTAATATATCGTGTGTCCTGTTTATCGCCCTGGGTTGCAACGCCCCTGACTTTTTCTTCAAAATGTGGTTACGAATAGGCAGCTCTCTGCCAAATGTTCTGTGGCGAGGTGAAGAATGCCCTAGTTCCAGGAGAACACGCTTTCTCCTTTGCAGTCACGAGTCTTCCATTTGTCGACGTGTGTGTCCCCCATTCCGATCCTTGTCGCCTAAGTCTGGTTGGAGTGGCCTCGAACTCCACCTGCAACCAGTATATGCTGCATATGTCCCAGTGGGGGTAAGCTCTTTCAAATGATGCGATTACAATTTTGCCATAAGCTTGGCGTTGGATGACAGTAACGCGCATAGCGTTATCCAGCATGTTTTCGTCCCTGTGCATTTGTTGTCTCATTCATTACCTGAGGTGTATATGGCGTCTTTGGAAGCCTTTTCAAATTTTGTATCGGATTTCGTGGAAAAGGACCCAGTTGCATCAGAGATGAGGTATTGCAAATATTGTTATAGAACATTCAATTTTCAGATACAGAAAATCCAAAATTTCTTGCTGAACTACAGATAATCCAAGTCGCATGGTTTGGCCAGACAGTCAAAATATTGGAATTTATTAGGAATTTTCCCCAAATATAGGCAACTCTTATAAAAACTATAGGATAATATAGGAATCTATAGGAGCCTCTGGGGCAGGCCATGTAATATTTGGTGATGATGATGACGATGGACTGATGATGATGATGATGATGATGCGTGTATGTTCAACATATGCGTGCCGTGAGTACATAACAGAATCATGAAGCACGTACGCCGCACGCAACGCACGCACGGCACGCACGCACGCGCACACACTAATACGTGACAATCTCAATACTTCGTCAGTGCTCGTCCAACAATCGATCGTTGCTGTTGTCGTTGTTTTTTGACAGTGATAGGAATGTGGTTTCCCATCGCGCAGTTGCGTGCTCAGCTAAGGCAGACAGCTGGTGCTTCCTCAACTGTTATTTGGAAGATGGATGCTCCGGTGTCATTTAGGAGTCTACGTATGCTCGGAGGGCGTATCCGCGCATAATGCTGGCCATCTAGGCGTAGTTGTAGCTGAACACACAGGCTGTCTCTCTCGGTCTCTTGGGATCTATACCATTCATTGCCCTTATATATATATATATCTATCTTTTCTTTATCTATTTCTCTCTATCTTGCTCTCTCGCTCTCCCAGACGGCTTCTCTTTTCTTTTACTTATCCGTCACATATCCTTCGTCTCTCTCTCTCTCTCTCTCTCTCTCTCGCTCTCACTCTCTCTCCCCTTTCTCTATTTCTCTCTCTTCTCTCTCTTCTCTGTCTCTCCCTCCAGGCTGCTGATTGTTTGTCTGTCTATTCTCTCTCTCTCCTTTCCTTCTGTATCTCTGTCTCTCGCTTTCCCTCTCTCTCTCTCTCTCTCTCTCTCTCTCTCTCTCTCTCTCTCTACTATTTCCCTCTCTACTATCTCTGTCTCTCTCTTTCCCCCTCTCTATCTCTGTTTCTCTCTCTTCTCTCTTTCTCTCTCTCTCTCTCTCTTTCTCCTTTTCCTTCTTCTCTTTCCTCTCTGTTCCCTCTCTTTATCTCTGTCTCTCTTCTCTTTCCTTCTCTATCTCATATCTCTCTTGTTCTCTGCTCTCTATCTCTGATCTTTCTTTCCCTCTCTTTATCTCTGTCTCTCTCTTTCCCTCTTCTCTCTATCTCTAGTCTCTCTCTTCTCTCTTTCTCTCTGTTCTTTTTCTTCTTTCTTCGCTCCATTGCTGCCTCTCTCTCTCCCTCTCTCTATCTCTGTCTCTCTCTCTTTCTCCTTTCTCCTCCATGCGCCTCTTCTCATCTACTCTCTCTATCTCTGTCTCTCTCTGCTTTCTCCTTTCTTCCTCTCCATTGCGCCTCTCTCGCTCCTCTCTCCATCTCTGTCTCTCTCTTCTTTCTCTTCTTTCCTTCCATCGCGCCTCTCTCTTTCCCTCTCTCTTCACCACGTGTCTTCAGTATGCTGTTACTCATAGTCTAAACCTCGTTATCGCTTGTCAGTTGTCGGACACATCAACCCAGCCATAACGCTGGCATGGCATATATGCAGGACGCCATGGCACAGGTTTGCTTCTACTGGACGGGCAGTACCTGCGTGCGATCAAGGCGCCGCCGTTGATTACGGTCTCGC